AGCCGCCCGGGCGGCCGGGTTCGGCGACGACTGGGGACGCCCCCCTGGCCCGCTTAGGGACACCGCAACAGGCACCCGCCGACACACGAACGTCACGGGAAGGGAGCCCTCCCCGCCGCTCCCCGGCTCGTCCCGGCCCCCAGCAATGCGCGGGCCCCAAAAGGCATTTTCACGCCCACTGAATCCAGATACCCCAAAATACGCCTAAATGCGATTAATAGGTCAATATACGATTTTACTTCGCAGAATAAAAATGCATATCGGTTACATCAAGCTTTAAACATTCAGCAGCAGCTCCCTCTGAGATACATACAATTAAAACGGTAACACGCCAAGGCACAGCGGTGGGTACGTTAAGGCCAGAGCCCCCTCCCCCTGAACTCTGCGGTTCCCGACAGGGGCGATGCTAAGGGCGAGCCAGCCCCGCACTCTCCGTGCGGGAACGGGAGCCAGCGAGAGCCCGGGCCCCGCCACCGCTGCAGGCAAACGGCAGCTCCGCGCTCCGTCCCCTTCCCGCGGGGCAGCACCGCCGGCCCGGCCCGCCGGGAAGTTCGTTCCATGTTCGGAAGCACGGGCAGGGCCCGGCGGGGGAGCGCGGTGCCCGGTGCTCGGTGGCACACACCTCTCCCGAGCCTATCGAGCCCCCAGGTGGCACCTACTCGCCACCACCTGGCTCTCGGCCTGCTCCTGCTCTGACCCCAGCCACGGGGGCGGCCCGCCTTTCTCCCTAAAAGTGAGAATTGAACAATTGTAATCCCTGCAGTTACTGGTGTGTTACTGTTTTGGAGCAGGGGGACTTAAAAAACACAAGGACAATGACAAAGGGTACTGGGAGTCCCGGAGCAGCTAAGGCCCTGCGGGGAGACAGAAGGGCAGGCTCCTTGGGGAGCGTTCACCCCTCATGGGCTGCTGCCTGGCAGTGCCCCAGCTTTGGGAGGCAGCAGGCTGTGCAGAGGGCTCTCCAGCCCCACGCCCGTCCCTTCCAACCCAACTCTTCCCACCCCCACATCCCGACCGTGACATCTTCCGGAGGAAGGGGAGGGTGAGAACAAACTTACCACCCCCGGGGCAGAGACAAACTGGAGATTCTGTGACCTTAAAACATTCTCCTCGGGTTTTTTCCCGTATATGCTGTGTACTGGATCATCATCTGGCCTTGTGATTCTATGAATATTCATATATTCGCCACTTAGAAATGCAGGAAGCAATTTGTATTAAAATATCAACACAATGACTTCCATTCTCTGTGCCCCTGAGGGACATAAATATGTACTTTTTCCCTTTGATGTATAAATAATACTTCACTTTAGAGGAAAGCACCTAGTGACAGAGATCATTATACATTTCATGAGGAACGGCCTTTAACTTAATGTTTAGGTTACAGGGCACATCCCCTATCTACATACTGTGAAAATACTGTTTCTCTTGAAGCGTTACTTTTTAACAAGTTTTGGTACTCTACCAGTTAGTGCAGCTGGAACACTGATAAACATGGATTACAAAACTGATGAAAACTAAAGAAGGTGGAAGCAGTGATGCTAACAATTATTTGTACTGACAGGTAATTTTATTAAAATTAAAACTTAATTTCAAATACAATACTTTTTGTTTGCCTTTCAACCTAAAGTTTAAAGGTTCACATTCACAGGCTTTTATTTGAGCTTTGAGTGGATGATGATAGATCCAGATAATCCATGACATAGGGTTTAAAGATACACAAAATACCGTAAAATATTCCATTTGGTCCACAATGGTATGTCACTTCCTCATGCAGAAGCTGGCAGTGAGCACGCTCATTACCAAAAGTCACATCACAGCAGCCATTTCTCTGCATGACATCTTTGTGGGGTGACTGTCCTCTTTGAAAAAAACTTCATTTCCAGGCACCTGTAGAAAAATGACCAGAATATTAATGAAGTTCCCAGGAATTATGCCAGACAATTTAGCGAGTACCCAATGCCTCAGGGAAGGTGTGCTTTGGCCCAAGACATACCGCGGAGTCTGACCTCAAGGAGATTGCTCTGGGGAGCCAAAATTGCAACGAGTTGGACAGTTCAGGAATTTCAAAAGAAACTCATGCAGGTAGCTGGATTAAAACTATTGTGAAAGAGGTCAGTAACTTTGACATCCTCTATTACAATAAAATTCTAAAAAGAAATTTAACCTAATGTTTCCTGAGTACATCATCCACCACATTGGTCAGATTTGGAATCTTTAACCTCTCTTCAGTTAACACCAGTCGGAACACGTACACTCAAAACACCCAGGCACAACATTTTACGTCCATGAAACATTGTCTTTCATCTATTCTCAGAATCTCCACCCCCTTTCTGAAGCAGCGAATTGCTTAGAATCCTTTCGTCTCTGCCACTCCCTAGAAATTGTTCCTGTTCGATGCAAAGATAGGAGTTTAAAAAAAAAAAAAAAAAAGCATTGCATATCCTTATCCTGTCAGTCATACACAGAAAATGAAACAGAAAACAATGTGGTCAACAGTAAAAAAAAGAAAACACCACCAAAAACCCCAAAACAAACAAACTCTCTGTTTTTAACAACTCAGAGATCTTTATGAGAAAATATGACTCAGTAAGACTTTATAAACATTTTAAAACATTTGAATAAATAGGTATCTGAAACCTGGTTCAGACAATTACAACAGTTCTCCATTTGCAACAAAGAAAATACTTGCAAGCTCATTCCTGTTTCAATCCCTAGTTACAGTTCTTCCTTACAAGTGTGTAAATGCAGCAAACACACTACACAAATCACACAAAAATGAAAAGCTTCCAGCTACGCTGTGACACAACAGTACCCTCCTTGTACGTTACATAGAAGGCTGAAACGCTACCTTCTTCTGCAACTGTTACACTCTTTTCTCTATCACTTCTTTGAAAATAAAAGGTCTTCACTATCTAGGGAGCAACTCATCAGATAGCACAGAAACATAGGACCAACCACAAATCCCAATCATTTTGCTAGTGATTTCATGAGCAAGGACTCCAGCATTCAGTGCTGAACTCCTGAAGATGCTTTCCCATCATATTACCACTGGTGAAATTTCTATCTAGAGAAATGAATTTATTCATCTTGTGGAGATATACACTTTCCTTAGAGAAGTCCTAGGTCTGTTGTGGAGTAGTGCACGTAAAAGGCAGGTAAACCCCTGCAGACAAAGTCAGCAGTGAACTCCAGACTCTGACAGAGCATACAACACAACTGTAAATCTTTACGGTAACAGCCCTGACAGCTGATCTACCAACATCAATATGGTCAGCTACCAACCACAGCAATCAGGGAATTGCTAGTTGCCAGATGGCGATGGCAACATTCTTCCGCATGCTTCAACATGACCATGAAAATGAAGAATTACATACAGGACATAAAGAAATTAAGAGGAATATAGAAACCAAATCACTTGAGCACAAACCCCTGAAAATAATCACACTCATACGCTGTTGCCACAGCCTTCATGGATTGCTTTCCACCCACTCCTTCAAGGAAAAATACTTGATACAGCAGGCAGCTGTTGTGCATTCAGGGATGTGAGAAAATGTATTCCATATTACTATTTAATGTATCATGCCTGTGTGGATAAAATCATTAAGCTTGCATGGCTCCTTTTGGTTTATTCATTCTTAAATTTACACCCACTGAATTAATTCACCACTACCACCCAAACCACGCGAGCTCCTCGGGTGTTCCATTCACAGCATTTGACCCAGGCTGGAGTCTTCGCCGGAACGGTTCCTTTAAATCAACATGTATGTGCTCAGCCTGCATCCACAGCCAGCAATTTATCCATGATAAATGCCATTGCTCAGCAAATCCATAGCCCTGGAGAGAAGTCAGCAAACCTCCTTTCCTTCTCCAGCCTTTTTTCTTTTTTTTTTTCCCCACAACAAATTCCTACCCTCACCTAAGCCACTGAATCCTTTGTACTGCTTCCAGTACACTTCCCAGTACAGACAGCAACGCTCATTTGCAGTCAGCAATAAGGAGAATGCAACCTTATTTCCTGCAACTAACATGGACAGGGCAATTTCATTTTCTCATTGACTTGTTCCTGGGGTCTGTACCTGGAACCTGACCCAGACCAATAAAAATTAATTACAATATTTTTGTTGTCATCCCTGAAACTTTTGGATTAAGCTCCTGGGAAAAGCACTGTGTTCTTCCTACAGCTCTTCCTTCCAGACCAGACTTTAGAAGAGTATCCCACAAGTGAGCTTACAGCTATGTTCCTATGGCCGAGCCTCATGATTGCGCAGTGCTCGCTGTTATCAGTACAGCCCATCTTCCAGATAACTGAATTTGCTGCCTCACTCACTGCCTGCTATATTTACCTCCCGGTAATTAAAATTATATAACATATACATTACGTAACATACCCTACAAGAGGGAAGCTTTAGAAGGTTAGCGGGAGGCTGCCACGGTGAAAGCCCTGGCCCAGCAGCGCTGCTTACGAGGGGAGCAGCGGGAGCCCGCAGGCTGCCTCCGGGGAGTCAAACCCTGCTCCGGGGAGCACCGGCGGCCACACCGAATTGGTTACCGCTGCGGACGAAGTGTTGGCCGACAACTACTTTTGGCTGAGCGGGAAATAGCGTAACGCTTTAGCTCGCCCTACGGGCCGATCTTCACGGGAGATATTTTTACAAAAGTAGAAAGCAGAAGGGGGGTGGGGAGGGGAAGAGGAGTAAAGACAAAAAATCAAAAACGATTAAGCGGGAGAAATCGCGGCCTCCCCCGTCCCCGCTGCCGGTACCGGGGCCTGGCCCTGCACAGCGCGGCCTCCCCCGGCCGTGACCGCGGCAGCGCCGCCCGGCAGGCAGGCAGGCGGGCGGGG